ATCATTCATACACATACATATACATGGGTATGTATAATTGAAAAGCTTATCACCTCATCCATTTATAATTTCAACAAACCTTTCTGGTATTTCATAATCGAATGATTGGTTGAAGTGCATACCCAGAAATCAATTAACGTAGTTGGTAAGTTTATAATTGTTTTGGCAGCGGGTTTGTTAAGCTTTTATAGTTCAATAGTATATGTACATAAATTATATACTATGTTTTTATATTATTATTCTTTTAGAATACACAAAAAAGTCTTATTCTCTGGGAAATGCTTCAAATCGGTGATGGGAAGCGCTGTGCTTTCATGTAGAGCTTTTTTGTCTTTACATCAGCGATGGGCAGTGAGAGCTTTACTCTGCACGCGCCTATACAAAATGTATAGAGAGCTTAAAAGAGCTTTGCCCGCGGGCAAGGCGGTGTCCATCACTGCTTTACATACATAAATATGAACATTTTAAATGGAATATTCACCTGTTAGAAGCTCTTCACATATGCCCATGACTGGATAAAATCAGTCATGTTAAAAACGCTCGCCATTTTAAGAAAGCTCTCCATGGGCGCTACCCTCATATTAAGCTTAAAAAAGCTTTTATAAATATTCTCCCGCGGAATACGATTCAGTCGTATCTAAAAGCTCACCTTATTATAATACACAACTTATAAATTCGAGCACTGGGTAAAAGCTCCCTCTATTCATCAATGTTTAGAGCCTCCTTCTACTAGATCAGAGTTGGGCGCTTCATAGCCATGCATGCGAAAGCTTTTAAAAGCGCCCTATAAAATTTTTTTTATGGTTGGTACAAAATTAAAGTTTTCCCTTGGGAGCCAATTTTGGGGGCGCAAAATTCTGGGATGGCCCTTAATTTTTAAATTGCATAACTTTTTCAAATGTGAAAATCGAAAATGAGCAATTTATTCTGCTAAGACTTGCTTCGTAAACTAAATTCAGAAAACTGCAGCTCGCCGCAAGGCCATTATATTGTCAAAAATGAACCTGAAGAAGCACCACAAAGATGTGAATATAAAGTTTATTAGTGTAAATTGTAACTTTCCTCATTACCACTTTGAACCTTTGCCGCTATTTTAACAAAGAGGAAATAGGTAAGTCTTCTGACTAATAGATTATTTTTTAACGTCTCAAATTTCTTGGTACGAAAATTATTTTAGGCCAGCAATATTAATTGCAGGTTAAGACATTGTTTGTATGAAAGGAGCCATAAATAAGGAAGACTCGAAAAGACTATTTGGTTGGGACGGTGGGAAAAAAGGCTGACAAAGAGTCTAAACTTAAAAACCAGGCGCACAGCCTTGACAAGTTCTATATTTTGGATAAAAAGTTAAAACCCTCAAATCTTAGAGATAATCAATGGTCATCTTCATTTTTAATCGATCAATTTTTTCATACTGATACTGATGAAATTGATTCTGTTTCGGTATCTGAAAATCAAAGCGTCCGAAAAACTGTCTAAGTGAAGGAATTTCCTTAGAAAAAGCCCATACTTATTTGATCAGAAGTTGCTTGGAAGCTATAAATAGATAGATTGATAGATAATATAAACGAAGCACTGCGACCAGTAGGTCTATTGTGCCCTGCATATGTACATTAGGGTGGTCCAAAATTGCATGTGAAAAAGTAAAGTCGGAAATTTAATGCCGGGGGTGGCGGATTGTAGGTAGGATTGTTCTATACCGAAAAAAATATACCCCTATTTTTTATTTTGGAATAAAAAAAAATTTGGAAGTGCTCAAAGCGCTCAAAGCTTTTCAGGTATTTGATATGGGGGAAAAACAACTTTTCGTAGAAATATGTAGTGTGAAATTCTTGTAAATCAATATTTTTAGATCGGAAAACTCGGTTCCTATTCAGGAGATCCCCAATAGCCAATTGTTCCTTTAACCATTTTTTCATGTTAACTATATTTTATAGGTCGGCCAACCGCCCCGGAAAATGCAATGGGGAGACCAATAAAAAATATTTAATATATATTAAAAAATAGTTAAATAAACAATTGGGTATTAATACTGGAAGTCTTCTGGGGAGAACTACAGTTTTGCGATCGAAAAATATCGATTTTCAAGAATTTTTTACCATTTCTACGAAAATTTGTTTTTCCCCATATAAAATACATGAAAAGCTTTGGGTGCTTTGAGCACTCGGTAAATATTTTTTTATTTCAAAACAAAAAGTAGGGATACATTTTTTCGGTATAGAACAATCCTAGGGTTTGGCGGAATTAAAATTCCGAATTTATTTTTTTTGGACCACTCTAATGTACATACATACATATGCTGCGTTCGCTCGATCTTGGCGGTTGCAATAAATTGTTAAAATATTTTAAGAAAATACGCCTAAGTAGATAACCAATGTCAGTCGGATTTCTCTAAAATTGAGGCAAACATACGAAAAGACAGGCAGACGGACTTTAGCGATGTAAATTTGTGAGTCTATGCTCTCCTCCTCTTATAACTACAAGTACTTACAAAAACCGACAAAATTTTGTAAAAATGCCTTAACTCAGTTTCGATTACGTCGGATTATAACCGCGTAAAACTTGTGCGGGTGCCGGACGATATCGATATCGCTTGAAACTGTGCGACTTATGAGCTGGCCAGGGGCGGCATCATCGAGGTGTTATCGCCAAGAGAAGAGACAGTGGGAGCTCCCTTGACTACTTGTGGACTTCGATTGGATAGAGGGGCCTGTGGTCAGCGCAGCCAACGGTGGAGGAAAACCAAGGCTTACGCTACTGCGAGTTCATTCTGGCCGGGGTTGGACTGGAGACAGAGAATCTCGTAAGGCTACGGAGCCGGATCTCTCGATTCTGGTAGGTCTTCTGACTGGCCACTCCCATTTCGTGAGATTAAATACCTTTTCGGATTCCTTTTGTCGCAGCTAATGGAGGACGATGACGTGGAATCGGAGTCCGGAGGAGCTCTCCGGGATCAGTGTCTGCCGGCTGCGAAACTTCGTTCTCGGCACGCAACGTTTCGTGCTATAACTTAGTAGCTACCGTTCGCAATGGTATAACAACCAGTTTTGCCACTCCAGAATATTTTTAGGCCGAATACAACCGACACCGAATAAAATTTATAATACCGCTTCATCGTCATAAAATCACATACAAAATACCAAAGTTTTGGTTTGGACGATGTTATCCAAATATTTTTAGTTTTTCCCAAGATTTGCACGTAATGGGTATAAAAAGACCCAGTTGAAGCTCGAAAATACCTGTTTAACCGATGTATAGATATCTACATATATACATACATACATACATACATTCGTATAACTGTGGGTACTTAATAAACGTAGTCAAATATGCTTACCTGCTCAAATACACATATGTTCCCCGCAAATTCACGTGTTACAATGCCCCCTTGTTACGCAGCAAGAACAATACAGAACTCAGCCAACAATCAGTAGGCATACATTACCCTCGCCCATTATCGCCAGCGTCGCAGCAAACTATCTATTGTTATATTACGCTTATTATTATTTATTCATATATACATACATATTGCTTTTATACGATATATATGTGCATTAGGGTGGTTAAAAAAAAATTTAAAATGTTAAGCTCTCACCCCTAGGATTTTTCCAAATGGAATAAAAAAATACCCGTAATTTTTTGTTAAAAAAAAAAAGAGCTACCTCAAAGCTCATGAAAACTGCATGCAATTTAAATGTAAAAAAAAAACACTTTTTCGTAAAAATGGTATATAATTCTTGAAAATCAATATTTTTTGATCGAAAAACTGTATCTCTTCAAAAGAATTCCAGCAATAGTGCCTCGCTGTTTATTTAACCATTTTTAATTTTTAATTTTTTTGTTTTTAGTTCCCCAAAAAATGCAATGGAAAACTTCATGGGCTTTGAGGCAGCTATAAATATCCGTTTTTTTTTTTTTTAATAAAAAATTCCGAGTATTTTTTATTCCATTTAAAAAAATCCCTTGAATTTTCTTTTTTTGGTTTTTTTTTGTTAAAAATTTTTTGTATTTGAAATTCGAAAAAGCCTTTTTAAATTTTAATCTTTTTTTTATATTTAGTTCCACAAAAAACCCCAAAAATTTCAGTAAAAAACTTCATGGGCTTTGAAGTAGTTTTATATATATTTTTTTAACAAAAAAATACGGGTATTCTTGTTTTTCATTTAGTAAAATCCTACGGGGTGAGAGATAAGCATTTTAATTTAGTTTTTTTTCTTACCACCCTAATGTACATATGCACTTACGAACATAGTTATGGTTGTATGCTTATAACCATTATTGTTGTTCTTGTTTTATATCTACAGGTAACCCAGCCCACAAACAATACACTCTGCTACATATAGCTGGCCTCTGCCTTTACATTGTGGTTCATTGTTTCGGCGCTGCTGCTGCTCAACCGAATTTACTCCTCGCTAGCGCTCACCAATCAAGCAACAATCAAACAACTAAAACCATACGACTGTCTGTCTCAGCGATTGACTGACTGACTAACTGACTGGCTGACTGGCCGGTGAGCCGGTTGTGTTGGTGGTTTTATAGAATAGTACAATGTGTCGATGATGACGATGACGAGCAGCAAGCGTGCTTGGATTGACTGAGTCACTGTGGCCACGGCGGTGGGCAGGCAGGCAGGTATTGGTTGGTTCATTTCATTGTGGTGCTCAGCTGACGCAGTCATTCGACGACGACGTGGAGCTGTGTGGTTGCTGGTGTTTTTGGAGCACGAACACAGCACAGAGTGGAGCTTCGTACGTCGCTGGCGTTGACGTTGGCCGGCAGTTGCATTCGACGCGCCATTCGGAACGGGTTGTTAGACGGGCGGTAGTACCTACATAAGCACCTAAATAAGTACACCGTAAGACGAGTGGATATGTACGTGATTGGTGCGACGTAGAGAGTTGGGTTGCGCGCGTCGTTAAGGTCGTCAGTGATATTTTTTTTTCCGCTTAGCGACACATACAACGTTTCCCATCGCGTTTGGCGTCAGCAGCGTTGTCATCGAATTGTAGTGCTTCTGGGCTGTATAGATCATGCCAAATACGGGCCGGCAGTTGACAGGCTAGCACAGTGCGCGAATTAGAATAGAACTGAGCGAGAACGTGTTGGCAAGTGTAATGAAGCTGTAAAAATTGAGTGCCAGCAAAAGAGTGAATAAAAATTTATATAAAATAATTCTGTAAAAAAAATGTGATTTTCAAGCAGCAATTAAAATAATAAGAGTTTAATAATTTTTGCGATTCTAACAAAAAATATCCAAGTGCGGACAGTATACGAACTACAAACATACATATAACAACCGTCAAAAAGTCTCGTGCGTGTACAACATTCCGGTAGCAGCTCTGCACCAAACAAAAAAAACAAAAAAAAAACAAAAAAAAAAAAAAAAAGCAAAAAAAAGTGTGTCAGTGAGTGTACCCGTGTATTTTGCGATTTTCGCTCATTTTGTGTAGCGCAGGCGTGCGCGCCCTTCCCCTCCGACGGCAGCTGTTTAAACAAAGAAGAACAAAAAAAACCCCTTTGTGTCTGTTTTTCGCATTGTATCGCTTTAATTGTTGCCTAGCGAAATGACTGATTCCATAAAATTATCCGAAATGCAACGCAGTAGTATCGAATTCGAACGTCAACGACATTTGGCCAACTGGTTTATCAAGAGTAGCCCGCACATGGCAACACCGCAAACAGCGTCCGCGACGACGACAACAACGGCGGCAACGGCGACGGGCGCCGGCGTTGCACTAACAACAAGAACAACAACAACAGCAACAACAGCTGTAGCTATTGGTGCAACAACAGATAACACAACAGCTAGTAATGCAACAAAAAATACAACAACATCGACAACAAATCTTGGAGGTGAGTACCTAGCAGATATCGGTGCAAATATTTGTTGACAAAGAATGAAACAAATTGAAAACAAAAAATAAAATTAATTGAAATGGTGAAAGAGAATAAGAGGCATTTGGTTGCAAACATGTGCTTGTTACTAGGTAGCACATTATGTCGATGTGTATGTATGTATGCACAGTGACTCAAACAAATGACCATGTGTTGATTTTTCTTAAATATCCTAATGTTTTTGGAGCTAATGTTTATTTTTGTTATTTTTCTATAAAGTACCGTTCAAGCTTTAACCAAAAACAAATAAATCACAGTTTCAAGCTTTAAACAAAATTTAGGAAAATTCAACAATCTTTTTAATCTGAATCATATTTGGCTACGCCGTTTTATAGCCCATACAATTTTAGTCTAATGACGTGCAAATTTCAACCAGCTAAAAAATTCCGTAGACTTATAATTTTTTTTTTTTTTTTTTATATATAAGAAGTGCAATTTACGAAAATTGGCGTTAATTTTTTGAAATTTTGTTGTTAACGGTCTCGCGTATTTTATTTCACAAGAAATTCATGATTATATGGAAAAAGTGCAAAAATCCATCACAAAATAAAACATTCTCAAAAAGCCGTTTGATGAAAATTTGTTGAATTTTCCTAAATTTTGCATAAACCTTTAAACTGTGACTTATATGGTTTTGGTTAAAGCTTTCGAATATAAAAAAAAAAAAAATTAACGCTTGGTCATTTGTTTGAGTCACTGTATGTATCTACTAGCGAGGGACAACCACTTTCAGAATTTAGAAAATATTTCCACTGATGATGAAATGCTCATTGCAATCAATTAATCATTTTAATCGTTCTGGCAATGAAATTGTTGAACTTTTTGCATGACACGCGCTCATTGACAATAAAGCGAGAATGTTTCTAAGTGGATAATGTGATGCATAAACGTGTTTAAATTATTTTGAGAAAATAGCATTTTTTTGTAGTGAACAAATGTGTCCCACGCTCTATACAAAAAAAAAAAATTTGAATTGTTTATTTAACCTTCAATCCGATCACTAACTTAGTCACCTTAACAAAAAACTTTAGACCTTATTGAAAATATATCAAAAAAACAAAAATCCGACTTCAAATTTATGTCCATTTTTTGATTCTATCGAAATGTTCTAACTATGTAAATTAATTTGTTGATGCAAATTATAGAAATTTCAAGAAGTAGTTTGGGAGATGTATATATGTATGTGAAAAAAGTAAAGCCCCTATGATTATATCGAGAAATATATACCTCTGTTTTTTCATTTCGAAATTTATAGAATTCTTGAAACAGTATAGTTTATAGAACCGTTAAATAAACTATTGGGTATTATTATTGGAAGTCTCTTGAAGATAAACAGATTTTCCCGATTGGAAAATATTGCTTTTCGAGAATTCTATACCATTTCTACGAAAAATTGTTTTTTTTTCCACATACATAAATACATGGAAAATTTGAAGCGCTTTGAGTGACCTCTAAATATTCTTTGATCTCAAAATATGGAGCAGGGTTTGGAACAGACCTAGCGGGTGAGATCCTTCTTGTTTCTTCAACGGTGTGGTGTTCTCTGCTAAAAAAAAAACTGTAGATGACGTAACCCGACTTTACATTTTCTTTGTCAAAATGCTAATTTTACCCCATTTTCAAATGGGTACCCAAGGGTCTGTAGAGGACTCAGAGAAATGAAGTGCAACTTTTCTTAAAGTTTGGACGTTGCTCTTTCTATTGGATACCACACCCGCTCCATTCTGCCCCCACCATAAAACCACTATAAAAATAACCGAACAATTCCCAATTAATTTTTTGATTGCGATTTAATTTCACTTTTCAAAACGAATCAAAACCGCGCAGGCTAGTTTCATTTTTGGATCGCGGCCTAATTTCGCTTGTCAATATGAATTATGCCTACGCAGTCTAATTTGATTTTTCGATTGCGGTCTAAATACACGCGGCCAGAATTCATGGAGCTCGTCAAGTTAAGGGCGGAAGGGAAATAAGAATCAAAAATTGTGTACGCCAAAATTTGATAGACATTTTATTTTATTATAAAGCTGGCCATTTCTAATAAATTTTGTCGACGAACTCATCACTAAAAAATATGCACAGCCGTACAGTGCGCTTTGTGAACACTCCATGCGACTTAATCGAAGCGCTTTCGACAGAAGCAGCATTTTTATATGAAACAAAATGAGTTTGAAAGCTAATGTTATTCCCTTTCACGGAAAAATATTGCCATTGAGCCACAATTACGCCTTGACCTTAAAAAAATTGGTCGAAAATAGTGTTCTTCGATAAAAACATGCATAATCCACCGGATTTATAAAAAAAAAGATAAAAATTTGTATTTTTTATTAAAATAATATTATAGAATTTGAGACGAGAAACACGATACCACTGTTTAAAATTCCAAAAATAAGCGTTAACATTTTAATTTAAAAAATGCATGTGCACCCTTCACACAATTTCATATCCCTCGATCAACAAGTGTCTAATAATTAGGAGCCAAAGTATAACGATTCTGAAACTTTTTCACGCGAATTTTTTTCTAATTTCGGAGTAAAAACTAGTACAGCAGTTTAGTTTAAAATTGTTATAACTCGTCGTGTACAACTCGCGGCACAATTCTTGAATTGACCTTCTCAATTTTATGATATTTTCAAATATTGTCCAAGACAAGCCTTTTTCAAGAATATTTAAGAACGTATCCGGAATAGTTCGTGTACGTTCTTAGCAAACGACTTGATAATGATACTCAATTTTCTCCGTAGTCAATGTTTTCTACCCGACCTATGTATGTATTTGGGCGATATCTCAAAGCGGTTCCATTGAAATGACAGCTCTGAAGTAGTGACATGAAATGAAAGATATGCCGATTGAGAATTTCAGAAGAACGTTGGTTATAGAATTGAAATAATAAACAGGAAAGAAGCTGGCTCTCAAAACGGTTGTAAACGGTTGTTAAAATTTGACCTTACTTACTATTCCTCTGCAAATTTTTATTTCAGAAATTTATTTTGCAATTAGCTAAAGGAGTGATATCTATGCTTGTTATTGGAATATTTATGTGTTGCCATGCGGTACTTTCTCTCGTTCTCATTTTGTGCTTGACCAACCTCTTTAGCTGTTCAGCTGTTTTCTAAGCTGGAAAATGCTGCGCTAAAGGCGGGTTCGCCGTTCGTGTCCGGACAACTTTTTCTTTGCTTTCAAAACAATTTTGCCGGAGAGGGCGCTCAAGTACGGTTCACCGTTCAGTTCGACACATTTGATTTTGTTCTGAAACAAACAGCTGATGATATTGTTGCCACATGCAATTCGCTGCAAATCCATATAAAAGAGAACGCGGCAACGCGAATCATCAAGTCGTTCGGTTAGAAAATCAAAATCAATTTGATTCGAATAAAGAGTGTTCAGCACATTTTTGTCGCGCTCTCAGTGAGACAAAGTGGGAAAGGAACGCGTAAAATTACTAACAAAAAGTATCCGGACACGAACGGTCAATCCGCCTTTACATCCCTAAGTTTCAGATGTTTTTCTCCAGGATTTGACGTGCTGAGAAAATCTGGTCAATAGAGAACTTACCAGGTCTGAAGCCACACTGATATGGTCCTTTCTGCATCTGATTTCTTCCTCATGAAAATACGTCTCTCTTCCCTCTTTTCTCACGGTATTACTCAAGTGTCGCGCACATTGCCATTGGCTGCAGGGTAGCTTTGAATGCCGACTCTTCCGCAGCGGTACGAAGTGATTGAGAGATGGAATCCCACTGCTCAGAGGCGCATGCGAACCTTAGCAGCAAAAAGGTAGTCAGTTATCGGAGTCGATAAAATGTATCTTCCGTCTATCACAATATGACCACTTTGGCTCTACGTTCGCGGGCACCCAAGCGGCTTTGTGGATGCTTCGATGCTGTTTGCTGGAACAACTAACTACAATGTTCCGTGACGCGGCGAATCCCATCAGCCACTCTCCGTTGTTGAAGGTGTTGTCATGAATGCTGAATTTTCCGCCTGTTGGACATATTTGGTCCTTCTATTCCCACTCTGACGTTAAAGTCGCAAATCATTAATTTAATACCGTGGCGAGGGAAGCGTTAGTCTTTAGTCTCATCGCCCTTCTCCTCCGTCGGGGCGTGCACAACCATGCGGATTGCAGCCGTGCCGCGTCCATTGCATCTCCTGAACTGCAGTATTATGGTTGCTCAACCGAATACACGTTTATATCGAGAGCCGCTTGCTCCAAGACAGATGCCCGCTTGCAGTCGCACCTCATGGCGAACAGACGCTATATACGTCTGTGAGCCCTTAAATCGAATTAGTCGGAGTGGCCTCACCGAAGCTCCTTCTCTTTCTGCTGTTAACCTAGTCTCCACTCGGATTGGTTACTTGCTTTAAAAATCAACACTTCTTAGTTAGCCGACTTCAAAAAAGGAGAAGCTTTTTAATTCCCAACTTTAGGGATTGGTTTGTTTGTGGCTACTAATCTTGACGCCCTGAGCGAGGATTAGTTTTCAATGAATTTCAGGTCGTACATGAGGAGCCCGCTCATCATTACCTGACTGTACTGACTGGTCATACGTAAAATTCATTGCACCTCTTTTCATTATATTTTAATGAGCTAATGAATGAGTCTTACTTTAACAACGGTTTAATAAAATAAAACAAAATCCCGCAGCAGACTGTCACTAGCCACTCGCAGCTAAGGAAACTTTAGTAAAAACTTGAAATTTGTTCTCCCTTGCTGTTCTTTAGTTCTGTCTAATTAACTGTAAAGTGCATTACTCATTCTGCTGCAATTTATTAATGTGACATCCTCACTTCTCTCTCTACTTTCAGGGGGCCACCACACAAATGGCATGTCGTCTTCGGCAGCCAACTCGCACCACCAGCAACAGCAGCACTCGAGCGCCAAGCATCACAACAGCTGTGGTGGCGGCGGTAGCGGCAATCCACCGCCCGTCTTCTTCTTAGTCGCCAGCAATGGCAATTCAAATGGCAATATTGTGAATGGCAGCAAACACAGCAGCAATGCGTCACCGGCTCCTACAGGTGTTGGTACGCCGCCCAATGCGATAAGCGGTAAGTAATTAGTAAGCCGATTTTCTTCATTTTCTTTTTTTATTTCCATTTTCCTTTTCACGCTTTTGTGCGCTACTGCATGCAGATGACTAATTACTTGTACACTTTGCACATTACAGCTGTCTCCGGCGGTCCGCTAGGCCATTTCGCAGCCGTCGAGGGACGCAAACCCAAGCTGCGACGCTTCAATTCGCACGACACCAGCGCGAATATGTTCTCAGTGGCGGACTTCGAGAATGCACGGCTGGCGCGACGCAATGAAATCGAAATGAAACAGCGTCTGGCACGGCGCATGCGCATGAGTGCCACTGGCGGATACGGCTGTGCGGCTGGCGGTATGGGCGCGAGCTTGATTGGTGGCAGTGGCTGTGGGCTGGGTGCCAGTGGTAATGGCATGGGTGTGGGTACGGGGGGCGGTAACAGCATGTGTGGCGGTGGTGACTACTCCACCGGCGATAGCAAGGCGTCCAAATATAGCAATGAGGTGAGTAGTTAGTCACTAGCTGACGAAATTCAATGATAGCTATTACCAAACACGTAATTAAATTTGCCTTTGAAATGTTTTCAGTCTCAACACGAGCCATTGCCAGCGGATATTTTCCTCGATCGCTACTCGTTGCCACGCGTTGTACGAATTTCGTATAAAACAAAATTCTCCGACGAAACATTGCAATCGTCCTCCTCGAATGGCTCATCCACAGCCACGACGAATACCACAGGCACCAGCGCCAGCGTTTCGAATTCGTCGGTGAGCGCTTGTGGTCTAACGGTGGCTATTAACACCGGCACGTCCTCATCGACGGCCTCCTCAAGCGGTAATGTGAATGCGCACAGCTCGGGTGCTACGAACACGAGCAGCAGCGGTGGTGGCGGTGGCGGTGGTGGTGGCGGTGGCGGTAGTGCGGATAGAGTAGGCTCCAAACAGCACTCAACGCCACACAATACAACACCTCCAGCCACAACAACTCAGTCAAACACAACAATTAATGGTAATAGCAATACGGATGTGGAGAATCGCGAAGATCATGGTGAATTATTTCTACTCTATCGGCTAATACGACAACGCCATATATTTCATGGGCATAATGCCAAGACTGCTGCAGCAAGTCGCAAGAAAGGTGTGCTGATACCGCAAGAGTTTCCAGGTGAGTCCAATGTCAAATGCGCTGACGCAGCACCATTTAGTTATAAGCGATTTTACGGCCTTTAGAGTTTTAAATAGACTCGCTTTGGTTCCATGCACATGACTCATGCTGCAAAGTTCTGATAATGACTAACTGAAAGTGAAATTTGTGAAATTTATTGTGAAATAAGCTATTTCAGGCAAAGAACAAGCATTAAATAAAAAGATTTTTTTGCATAATGGTTCGAAAGTGCAATTAAAGAAGTACATATACATATGTGAAATGAAATTTTAAGCTACTATCTTATGGATATAGCGCCTATGGAAAAGATGCTTTTGATAAATGACAAATTTGTTTTATTTAATTTATTAATACATTCATTTGGATATATAAACCATTTGGTTATATAAAACGTCATAAAAACTTTCACCGAGTCTGAAATTAAAGCTATAACTCTCGACTACTGTTCCTGAAAATACCATCCCTGCACTTAAACCTGATGGTCGCTTATAGTCATTTATTGAATAAAAATAATTAAAAAATATTGGAAAAAAAATTAGTTAAAGTCAGGTTTTGCTGGTCAATAAATGACTATAAGTGACCTTTGGGTCAAGATGCAGAGACGGTATTTTCATGGACAGTGTTCGATAGTTGTAGCTTTAATTCTTTCGTTGCTAGAGCTTCTCGAGTACATATTGTAAAAAGCGCGATTTTTTGACTATTTGACCTCGTTTTCCTCAAAGTGTGGACCAGATGAAAACTTTATACTTACGGATTCGTAAGCAGCACATAAAACTCTAACAAAAACAGTTAGTGAATAATAAAAAAATATTGGAACACATTTTTTTAAGTCACTTTTTGCTTCAATAAATGACTTTGGGTCATGATGCGGAGATGGTATTTTCAGGGACAGTAGTCGAGAGTTCTAGCTTTAATTTAAGTCTAAGTGGAAGGTTGTATCGCCTTTTGCTTCTTTGCTAGGCATTCCCAAATATAACACTTTACAATTTTTAAAAATACCGTTATATGGAAATTGGCGCATTTGAGGGCCGATTTTGTTTATAATAATAATAATAATAATAATAGATTGGCGCTTACACATATGTTAGTGTTTGGCCGAGCTTCTCCTCCGATTTGTGGCGTGCGCCTTGATGTTGTCACACAAAGCGGAGGGACCAACAGTTTTACGGCAACTCCGAACGGAGAAGCTGTTTTTTATGGCAGAAATACACTCGGAGGTTTGCCATTGCCTGCCGAGGGACGACCGCTGTTAAGAAAAAACCTTTTTTCTATTTTTTTGCGATGTTGCTTTGACCTGGGTTTGAACCCAGGTGCTGCGGAGTGGAAGCGCGCACTACTTACCACTACACCACAGTGGCCGTCAATATTTGTTGATTTTGTTTATATTAACACCTTATACTAATATTCACTAAAGAAGCTCGTGTTCCAAATTTGAAGCCTCTAGGTAAATTTTTATTATATATGGCCAGCTTTTTCGTGATTTCTCCCAATGTGCGACACCGTTCGGCGTAAACTAATAAAAATATAAAACAGTAAGAAAAATCTTCAGTTTAGCATAAATTAAAGGAGACTTAAGCAATTTTTTATTCAATTTATGAGCAATACTTAATTTTAGTTTTATGGTGCGGTGCAGAAGCATATATCTCGGCAGCCTGTTCGAAAACGGCCTATCTCATAAAACTTTTCAAGAAGGCCCTACTTCAGAATTTTATTGAAAAACATCCTATTTCAGAATTTCAGCCCATTTTCAATGTATTTTCAGCTGAGATAGGCCGTTATTGAATCGAATTCTGTCAATAAAATTCTAAAATCTTGTTCTTGAAAACTTCTCTGACATAGGGCGTTTCCTAACTGGCTGCCGAGATAGATCGATATTCTACTCAGGAGACGATAAGCTATTCGAACATCCGACTCGTGAGAGTCCGACAATTAACAAAGCATGAGAAAAGTGGGGGTTTTCAATAGAAACCCTGTCACCTTTAATGTTTGACTTTGCGATTTATTTATCACATGCCAAAGCAAGCCTCAGAGAATACCGAAGCCTTTTAAATTCAACTCATCTTCTCCTTTGCCACATCCAGTAATAACTCTTTCTTCAATTATGTATATTGGTCATTATTTTCTTTACTACCAATCTTGTTTCTTTATTAAGATTAGGTGAATTAAGGTAACGAAAGAAGAATAAATTAAATTGAAGTTATGGGTCACGTGACTTATGGCTCCAAAGTTATGGTTCTCTGAACGTATGCCATCTAAGGTGCAGAGGTGCTGCGACTTCTTGCAAACTCTCTTCTTTCTTAAGTTTACTACAGTGCATTGTGTTTAGCTGTCTGATTAAAAATTTTACGCCTATGGGATGTACCACGCTTCCTTGTCAGAGCCCATTTTTTATACCGTATGTTAGGTATGTCCAAGATTACTGTCTAATCATAAGTAAGTTCGAACAGACAGACAAGAATTCTAAAATTGGTCCAACTTTATTCTGTTACATTCCCTGCATAACCTTCAGATATTCTTTTAAAGAAATTTTCAATGTAGGGGCACGAGTTTTCTACAGTTTCATTATAGTGTAGATTAAGGGCCGTTTTCTAATGTAAGCAGTAAAGTTGCCTTTACTAACAGGGCAGATAAATTGTTCCTCAATTTAAAGTGTTTTCGTTTTCTTACCTTGCCGGTAAAAATTAATTTGTTATTCCGTATAGTGAAACTTCACTACATTTCCGGGAGTGAAACTTCACTACATTCGTCATAAAATTTCAAAGGTTGGCAATGCAACATAAGCAAATATAGAGCAAGAGCAACTGTTAGCAAAAACCAAAACCTTGGTTGAAATATCCAATATATCTGACTCATGAACCAAAACCAAACCAAAATTTAAAGTTGGGTACAAATTTTAAAGGTTGCATCGGGTGAGCAACAGTTTATCGATTCGAGAAATTAATGCGCTGATGAGAAAACGAAAACTCGTATATCGAGACGATAAAGTGGCCGGTAAACTAAAGGTTAGATGAGAAAACGGCCCTTAGTAATATATATTTTATCAATTCATTTATCTCAAACAAAGCTTATTTCAAATTTAACATTTTTATTACTTTCGAATTAAAGTTCGATTTGTTTCAAAAATTTCATTGGATTGGTAATTTTCATGCAACTCAAAATACTCTAATTACAGTGTACAACGACTACTTGTAATTCAACTCTACTCATGTACTAGATCAATTGTGGTCTTAATATTTTACACATGACTGTATTATAGCACATAGTTTTCCACCGGCATACATTTGTGCACGAAGTGAAAATTTAAAAAATACTTTCCTATCCCTTCCTATGCTATGAATATCAAAAGACCCATTGGTTTATATCGCGTTGGAATGACATTAGCTTTTGAATACAATTGGCTGTCATTAATATTAAGTACTTTTGGCCAGCAGCAGCGGCAGCAGCAATAACAGCAAACGATGACATAACGGTCGTTACATTAGCAACAACAAATTGTCATATGGAAATATGATAAATATATACATACATTAGACTGTGTCAAATAAAACGTATGTTTTTTTTTTCTTTCGGTCCCATATGAAAATTTCATTGTCGTCACAAAAATGTTATTTTTGCATAATTTCAGCCCTCTATCCTAATTTTTCAGTTAGGGCCCGCAAAAATAAAATTTTGAATAAAAATATTTTTTCCGCTACCTTTTTTCTAATAAACAATTAAATATAATAAACAAAAAAAAACAACCTTGTAGCCAATTCAATTTTAGTATAGATAACACATATAAGCCATTCCATGCAAAATTTTTTTTTGTGTAAAATATTTTTTTACATTCTTTATCGAAGAAAAGAAACGCCTATTTTTTTATTACATCATGATATTCGAAAAACTCGAAAAAAGTTTCGAAATTTTGAGTTCCGTAGGGTATCTTTTTAAAAGTTTTTGTATGTAAATACTTAAGTGCAAGTTTTAAGTTGCTAGGGCTTGCTGTTGATTTTTGGCATTTTTTTTTTGTTCGACGACTTGTTTATATTGGAAAAAAATTAACGAAACCTTCAACAAAAAATTTGCCTCCTCAAACTTGGAATTACTATCTATACTAAAATTGTTTATTAAAAAAGTAGCAGCAAAAAAAAATTTTCGACTACGAAATGGGAGCGAAAGTAAAAAATATTCGTTTTATTTGACGCAGCCTAATATACATACATGGACACATTTATATACATACATACTGTACTAGCCATAACGATATGAAAAATGCAAATGTGGTGTAAAAATGGGCCATAAAGTGCCATAACCAATAATAACCAGAAATAAACAACAACAACAAAACAAGACAGAGGAAGACAATAAGCTTTACAGTAGCGATGCGATCAGAGAAAGCGCTCATATATTTGTATATACATATGTATCCATATTAGACCAAGTGAAAAAAAAATAATCCTGCAATGCGACCGGACTTTGACCAAAAATTTTATTTCATACCATAATTCTAGACTCAGACTCCTAAATTTTTCTTTTACCCAAATAAGGCAAGTTAAATAAAACTGATTAAAACAAGATAAATTAGGAATTTAAAGAATCTGAGTCTGCATAACACTTAAATGGCGTATTTTTTGATTGATTCTAGAAAATTATATTGACATCAAAAGAGAAGAAATCGTCTTTTTCCGTGTTATTCCTATAGGAAAAATAAATGCTTGATGCGGCACCTCTTAGAATTATTGTAGAGAGGGGAGACTTGCGAAGGATCATTACTATACGAAATACTAAAATTTTAGTCAAAGTCTGGTGGCATTTCAGGATTTTTTTTTAACTTGGTCTAATGTTTCGATTTGTTTACCAAAACATATATGTATGTATGTACATACAAACCGTATATTTGCACAATGAAAGGAAAACAATAAATGAAATGATTATGACGGTCGCTCGCTTGCCAATGCCAAATGTCCTTCTGAAAACAGTTGTCATCATTTGCTGTCAACGAGTTCGACAACGACGACAAC